AATTCCATCATTAACACAATGGGACAAATAGAGTGCAACAAGTGGGAGGCTCAGTCCAGAGTTAACCCCTTCAGTGCTGCTGGGGTCACTTATAATGGGCACGGGGTGACAAACGTCCGGAGGGTTAGATTGGGGGATGGGCCACGTGTGGTGCAGAGTTGGGGGTACCCCGGCGGAACTTTCACCTTCTTTTCTTCTTCCTGCAGTTTGTATTCTGCAATCCGTTTGCATTGATTCCATATGGAACCGAGTGTCCCGGGCCCTCGGGAACCTGGCCGTGGACTCTCAGAACAGCCGAATCATTCATGACTCAGGTGAGCTGTGCCGGCATTGCTTGCCTTGGCTAGTCCACAGGAAGTAAAGATGGCGGTATGTATCCACGCCTTTGGGTCCCGTGCCCCCCACGTGTGGTGTCTTTGGGTCCCGTGCCCCCCACGTGTGGTGTCTTTGGGTCCCGTGCCCCCCACGTGTGGTGTCTTTGGGTCCCGTGCCCCCCACGTGTGGTGTCTTTGGGTCCCGTGCCCCCCACGTGTGGTGTCTTTGGGTCCCGTGCCCCCCACGTGTGGTGTCTTTGGGTCCCGTGCCCCCCACGTGTGGTGTCTTTGGGTCCCGTGCCCCCCACGTGTGGTGTCTTTGGGTCCCGTGCCCCCCACGTGTGGTGTCTTTGGGTCCCGTGCCCCCCACGTGTGGTGTCTTTGGGTCCCGTGCCCCCCACGTGTGGTGTCTTTGGGTCCCGTGCCCCCCACGTGTGGTGTCTTTGGGTCCCGTGCCCCCCACGTGTGGTGTCTTTGGGTCCCGTGCCCCCCACGTGTGGTGTCTTTGGGTCCCGTGCCCCCCACGTGTGGTGTCTTTGGGTCCCGTGCCCCCCACGTGTGGTGTCTTTGGGTCCCGTGCCCCCCACGTGTGGTGTCTTTGGGTCCCGTGCCACCCATTCCACGTGTTATATATCATCTCCATTCCAACAATGGCGCGGAAAGACGTGTCACATGACCATCCTTTGTCTTTTTAGCTTGCTCTGAGGTGGAGCTAGCACATCATTGCAGTAACACCCAA